AAGAAGAAGAAGAAGAAGAAGAAGAAGAAGAAGAAGAAGAAGAAGAAGAAGAAAAAGAAGAAGAAGAAGATCTAGATCTAGTATCTAGTATCTAGTCTAGATCTACATTAGATTGTAGATTCTAGTTGAAGAGCTGGCTTAGATCTCGTCTTATAAAGATATAGATCTAGATTCGATTCTAGACCTAGATATTTAGATTATCAAGTCTACACCTAGATCTAGATCTAGATCTAAAAATCTAGATCTAGAATCTAGATTTAGAATATCTAGAATCTAGATCTAGATCATCTAGAATCTAGATCTAGAATCTATATTATCTAGAATCTAGATCTAGATCATCTAGAATCTAGATCTAAAATCTAGATTCTAGATCTAGATCTAGATCTAGATCTTATTATTCATGTGTGTCGTGGGAAAGAGAAGAAGTCTAAAAGAAAGTGGGTCCCGTTTGGGGACACCAAAGATACATGTAGATCTTGACAAAATCTAGATCAACATCTAGATCTAGATTTATATCTAGATTCTCTAGATCTAGATCTAGATCTAGATTTAGATCTTGTACACAGGGGATACTAGATTTGACCATTTGACCCCACCGACAATTGCTTCTGGTTCTAAACGATTACTTTTTGATTCGCGTGCCGATAGTCCTAGGCCTATATATGGAGAGATAGCCTATCAAACCTAATCTAATTGCAAAAAAATCAAATTACAGTCATCCTGAAACCTCCATGTTTTTGTTGGTCAGGGGGGCAAGCCCCCCCCCCCCCTGAATATTTTAAATCAGTATCGATATCCAGATTCTAGATCTAGATATCTAGATCTAGATCTAGATCTACAGGGGAAGGTAGGCCTAGATCTAGATTCTAGATCTTGGGGTCTTTTGGTCTAGAATCTAAATTATTCATTAGAAGTCAATAAATATTTACCTTCGGTTTGTTGCGATCTCATCTTGCTAATAGCAAGATTCACCATTCAATGTTTCTGTTCTTGATATAGGCCTAAGCCTGGCCTTGTGTGAAGTAGACATCTTTGGAACCTTCCTTCCATCCAACTTCGCTTCCATGGCCGACGCCCCTTCTTTGCCAGGTCACCGGTAAACAATTGAGACCCATCATCAATGAGGGAATAAAGAGCTAGACCTGCCATCAGGCTTTGTTGAAAAAAGTTACAGTTTTACATTCTTGAGCTGCACTTGATTGCCTCTTAATTCAAATGTGTCAATCGGCAAACTGCAATTGTTATTGCAAAAAGGCTGAAATTCGGGCGAAAACGTTTCATAAATTGTACGAGGAAACAAAAGACAGAATAGAAAAAAAGAGCCAACACTAGGCCTACCAAGAATGGCACAAACTGCCAACCTGCAGTATCGCCTCTCGCAAGACCACCACCAGAGACTCTCTTAAACATAATTAATTAGCCTAACTCACTCTACCACCACACGCCACACGCTAGGGCTGTGGGGCAGGATTCTGAACAACACAGCTGATCAGTGCTAAAAATAGCAAACATACATGTTTTGAGATGTGCGCTTTTGAGGGAGGGAAGTTCAGTTGCAAGAGACGGTACTGTTCTGAGAGAAGACAAGTATTTCAGATAATGCCTTTTAGTACACGAAGTACGGGTGTCATTTTTTCAAGAGATATATCGTTGGATTAAAAATATTTTTAAAGTTTTTGAGCAGTCACCATTTTGCTGGTTTTCACAAAAGTCACCCCAACTCGGCAAGTTGTGTAAAGGTCACTGTTAACTAACTTTTCATAAATAATTCGCCAAATTAACTGAGAAGAAGCTTCGAATTGAAATGCATACGATAACACTGTTTTTTAAAAGCTAGGTCTAAAAACAGGGCGGGAATGATCGATTGTAATAAGACGACCGAATTGTGGTCGCCATAATGACAAAGTCGTGTGAAGACAAGGTTTAGGGAGACCAAATGTCGCCCCAACACTGGATTAGCAAATATATATACATATATATATATA